TCTGAAAAGGTCGCGCACATCCTCAAAGAAATCGCCGATGACGCCTTCAATCTCCTCGTGTTTCGAAACTCATCGACTGTAGACGACGTTATTATTGAATGCCGACGCTTCGAAGACGCAAAAAGTCGCCTTATCACTCCACACTTCTCGCGTCTTCCCAACACGGCTGCAACATCTACCTGCGAGGACGCCCGTTTGCCACCAGCCCCTGCTGCTTCCGACAATATCGTGCGCCACGAAATCGAGGCAGCATCTCCCCTGTCGACCAAGACCGGGCCCCCGACGACTCTCACACCACGATATCTTTGATCAAGAGTGTCGTGCGCCAGGAACTGGCCACCGCCGGACTTAAGACGCTATGCCCCGTTAACCGACCTGACTACCGACTGCCCAGTACACTTAATATGTTCCGCGGACCAAACAATCGCCCACGTTACTGGAACTCGGCAGAATGGCGAACTTCCGATGACAGGCCGATCTGCTTCAACTGTGGGCGATTCGGCCATATTTCACGTCATTGCCGCACTTTCTGGGATTGGCAGCCATGGTCACATTATGCCAACACCCGACGCCTACCTGCTGGTTCTCAAATGCCGATATAAGCGGAACGAGACGATGCTTCACAATCCAGGACCGCCCAACCGAATCGCTCCCCGTCGCCCTCTGGACGCATGTCCCGCTCAACTAACCGATGTCGCTCCCCCTCACCCTCCTACCACCAGTCCTCCGAAAACTGACGGGCGCAGCTCCTAGAGGTGAGCCTGTTTTGACGACCCGAACCGAAATTCCTTTACTCACAATACCCGACATAACAACTTGATTAAAGTAAATGTTGACGGCACTTCTGTGGCAGCACTCATTGACACCGCCGCTCACATATCAGTCATGAACTCCAGTCTTTGTTCTCAACCCAAGAAAGTGCTCACTCCTGCTCCAATCACTGTTGTCCGAGTAGCCGATGGTGCAACACCAGCGGTCACTGGGATGTGTGCCGCCCGCGTCACTGTCGCTGGACGTCATACCACTGTTCTGTTTTACGTACTGGACCACTGCCCACATAATTTTGGGACTCGATTTTCTGTCGGAGCGTTCCGCCCTGATTGACTGTTCTGCTTGTGTTGTTCAGCTCGTCCTACCACACGCCGTTAACCCTCCTGTTCCTGCGCCGCCAAAGCTATGCTCCGCCGACTTTGTTCGCCTATCTTGTCGAGCTGCGACGTATATCGACGTCTCTTCTGATCCAACTGTGGCTGACAGCGATTATTTCATTTCACATAATCCTACAGTCCTGTTTCGCTTAATGTTGCGTTCCCCCACAGCATCATCACAATGAAAGACAACGTGGCATGTCTCCCTATTGTGAACTTTGAACTTTGCTCTGAAATGCTGCCTCGAGGATGTCCCTTGCAACCCTTGCCCCGGCCGCCGACTATTACATATCTGCCTTAACAGAAGATACACCGTCATCTGCCAGTATTCAGTCGGGTAGTACACTAGACTGCAAAACTAAAATGATTGCCTGTGATCTTCCGGCCGAGCATGTGTCTGCGCTTTGTGGCCTTCTTGCGTCGGGTCAAGACGTCTTTGATCTCCACGACCAACCCCTAGGTCAAACGACCATCGTAAAGCATCGTATCAACACCGGCAATGCAAATCCAGAACACGGGCGACCCTATCGGGTTTCCTTCACCGAGCGCCACGTGATCCAGCAAGAAGTCGACAAGATGCTCGCCCGAGACATCATTGAACCTTCTTCAAGTCCTTGGGCTTCGCCTGTTGTGCTCGTGAGAAAGAAGGATAACAGCTGGCGCTTCTGTGTCGACTACAGAAATCTTAACAAAGTTACAAAAAAAAGACGTGTATCCTCTGCCACGGATAGATGACGCTCTGACTGCCTTAGTGGAGCAAATTATTTCTCTTCCATCGACCTTCGTTCCGGGTACTGGCAGATATCAGTGATGATCTTGACCGTGAAAAGACAGCATTTATAACTCCCGACGGCTATATCAGTTCAAAGTAATGTCGTTCGGGTTATGCAAAGCCCCGGCTACATTCGAACGAATGATGGACGCTCTTCTTCACGGTTTCAAGTGGTTCAATCTGCTTATGCTACCTTAATGACGTCATTGTTTTTTCGCCACCTTTCGAAACTCACCTCGAGCGTCTCTCAACAATTCTTTTGGTTTTCCGCAATGCAGGGCTCCAGCTAAACTCGTCGAAATGTCACTTCGGCCGCCGGCAGCTCACTGTCCTTGGGCACCTTGTTGGTTCTTCTGGTGTTCGTCCCAATCCTGAGAAAGTCAGCGCCGTCAAGGATTTCCCTGTGCCGACCTCTGCGAACGACGTTCGAAGCTTTGTGGGCCTTTGCTCTTTCGTAGATTTGTGCAGAATTTTGCTGACGTCACACGCTCGCTGACAGAACTACTAAAAAAAATGTGACTCTTGTGTGGGGACCTGAACAAGCCAGAGCATTCGTTGAACTGACGACTAGACTTACGACGCCACCAATTCTCGGCTACTTTGATATATACGCTCCAACGGAAGTGCGTACCGACGCCAGCGGCCACGGAATCAGAGCCGTTTTGGCACAACGACAGCATGGCTGCGAGCGCGTTATTGCAAACGCTAGCCGTCTTTTATCGCCAGCAGAGCGAAATTACTTCATCACAGAACGCGAATGCCTCGCGCTCGTCTGGGCAGTGGCTAAATGCTGGTTGTCGTCCCTAAAAGATTCTAGTGGACGTCTCGGCCGGTGGGCTCTACGGCTACATGTATACTCCTACACGGTTGTCTACAAATCAGGCCGCCACCATGAGGATGCTGATTGCTTGTCTCGCCATCCAGGAGACCCAGCAGACCTTTTTGAGAGCGACGAGTCTACTTGCGTTTTGGCAATTTCCGCGTTCAGCAACATCGGAGATCAGCAACGCCATGATACTCACCTCAGAGATATAAACCTCCGGCTCGGTGGTCCTACAACTCCTCTGTCTCTCCGTATGTTTTCTGGTCCAAGATAGCGTATTATATCGCTACAGCATGCATCCTGACTGACCTGAGCTGCTGTTGGTCATACCACAACATATGCGTCAAACTGTCCTCTCACAGTTGCATGATATTCCGACAGCTGGTCACCTAGGAGTTTCAAGAACTTATGACCGCGTTCGACGTCGATTCTTTTGGCCCGGTATTTACCTGCCGTTACGTCGCCTCATGCAAATCCTGTCCACACCGCAAAAAACCAGCCACCCTTCCAGCGGGACGCCTTCAGCCCATTCAGATCCCATCCGAACCATTTTATAGGGTAGGTGTTGACTTACTAGGACCGTTCCCTTTATCGACCAGCGGAAACAAGTGGATAGCAGTGGCCACGTATTACACCACTCGGTATGTCATCACGCGGGCCCTTCCTACCAGTTGTGCGACCGACGTCGCTGACTTTCTCCTAGAAGACGTCACACCATGGCGCTCCTCGGCAACTGCTTACCGATCGAGGTCGCTGCTTTTGATCAAGAGTTATCCAAGACATATTACACTCTTGCGCTACAAAGCACAAGTTCACAACGGCGTATCATCCTCAAACCAACGGGCTCACGGAGCGGCTAAATAGAACCATCACGGACATGCTCGCCATGTACGTTTCTTCCGACCATCGCGACTGGAACTCCGCCCTCCCATTTGTGACATTTGCCTATAATACGTCTCGGCATAATACTGCAGGTTTCTCGCCATTTTTTCTCCAGTACGGACGAAAGCCTACGTTGCCTTTTGACACGCTCCTTCCTGCCGTTAGCCACACGTCAGAATATGCCCACGATGTCATCTCTAGAGCTCTACAGGCACGCGAAATTGCTCGCCTGCGTCTGAGCGATTCGCAGGAACGACGACTGGTCTATAAAACCCGTGCCATCGTGATGTCCACTTCAGTCAAGGTGACACAGTCCTTCCTTGGACGCCGTCACGGTGAGTTGGCCTGTGCGAAAAGCTGACTTCGCCGTACTCGGGTCCATACCATGTAGTGCGCCAAGTCACCGACGTGACATATGAAATCGAACCTCTAAATGCCACTAGCGCGCGATCGTGTTCTGACGTTGTTCACGTCACTCGGCTGAAGCGTTATTACTCGGATCAACCAAGCACCGAGACGGTGCCTTCGCCACCGGGGGTGATGCTACGGGGTGCCACAAATGAACAAAGAGGACGATGTTCAGGTCGAGCTCGTGCAGACTGGCTTCACATAGTATGCCTGCCTATTAAACTAAAGTAAAGGTATTTTCAGACGTCTTCTCCCCGTAACAATATATACCCCACGCTTACTTTGTACTGTATGCGTAAATAATAGTGAATCAATAAAGAAAAAGTAAAAAAAATTGTGAACTTGTTAGGTCTATGTAATATTCGCGATCATGGCACACCACGCTACATTACACGAAGTTGCGTAGTAATGAAACATAGATTAACCAACATTAGCAATGGAGAAATAATATGCCAAAATGAATGAACAAGGTAGTATCGGTTTACTGCTTTTTTTCTTGAAACATTTAAATGTTATTAGCCATGGGCGGTAATGGCTAAGGTAGTGACAGTTACTAAATGCTGGTAGTAACAGGAAAGGCAGCAACTCTTACCGCCCTCGCCATTACTAACTGCGCTTACTAACAGGGTTGTAACATGAGTGGCAAACCATTACTACCCCAAGTTAACCAATACTACTACCTTTTTTCTAAGAGTGTACAGTTAAACACTAGCAACCCATATCCCAAGTCCTTTCTTCTCTCCCATTCTGTCTGTTGAGCTGATTTGCACACGTAGTCATCTTCTACCAACGCACCTACAGTTTCTTAAGGCAAAATGAATGTGTTATACTTGACTGTCAAGTAACTAAAGTATGTGATGTTTAAAGCCAAATTTCACCAGACAGGAGGAGGGACACTTGACTGGGCGGTTAGCCCCAGCCTGAACTGAACGGAGTTTCCCAACCCCCTTAAGCCAATGCTACTTACCGGCAGCAACCAGGACGATGAGGATTGACCACCGCATTTCAGCCGTTGCCGCAAAGACCAGTTCACTATACAGGCAACGGTCTTTTGTGATGAAGCAATACGGACTGTATTTAAGGACAAAGGCGCAATGGGTGACGTAAAATATTGCGTTGTCCAATGCGTGAAGCGACACGCCGCAACCAGCGGAAGCGATTTCACAGCTTCGATAACATTCGTGGCAATCGTGGAGGGAGGGGCGGTTTCTCAAGCTTATTGTCTTCGGCGAGAGCAGATAAGAGACGGTATCTCCGAAATTGTCACGGTCTGTTATGAGGCTGCGGAGTGCGACGAGCTTTTACAGCCAACAATGCAAACGCCGCCCAAATTGTATAGCTGCCAGTATAGCTGCCAACTCCCTAATATGTGACCGCTGCAGCCGGAATTGAACCAGCGGTCAGCAGCCGAGGACTCTAGCCACTGATCCACCGAGGTGGACATCAGGAAGCGCGAAAGAAAAAACGGGACGAAGAAGAGATACAGGCAACACAGGCGCTTTCTGACAACTATATATTAAGAAACATTCACACTTGGTATCCGAGCAGAATTGCACAGTGTATACTTGAACACATCGATAAGCGCAGCGAATCACGCGAAATGGCTAAACTGTCACAAAAAAAAAAAAAAAGCAGATAGTGGTGACGTTTTTAAAGGCATTTTGTCTAAAACCTGTTTAAATACCTTTTTCTTTTATTGTGTGGTTAGGTCTCTGTTTTTTATCGTGCCATGAAAGGTTGATGATTATTCAATGTTTGCTACTGTAGGGTCAAGGCGGTACCACTCTCAATCTGTAGTATAGAAAAAAAAAATCTCTGAATAACGAAACATATTTTTGAATTTTCAAACTGCCCAACGGGCGTAAAAAGTTATATGCAGATAAAGTCTCTATATTTACGTTAACAGTGTTCTATCTGGTGGGGTTCATAAAAGCACAAATCAGGAACGCGACCACCTTCATATTTAGGCCGAAGGCCAGTCGACACTGCTTGTTCTACAAATTTTATCATTCTCAAGCTAGGCCACTCAGTCATCGTAGCAGCTGATACAGCCCTTCACGTCGCACAAGCCACTTGAAAACTATTTATCTCAGCCGCTATTTCGCCTGTGTTGTATGCGCTTACGACCTGCCTTATCCCCGCGTCATGACGCAATGCCATTCCATTTAGAAGGATCGCATTAAAAAGAGCAATGTGGAAATTTACGCAATTCATACGTCATAGCGTCGCATAGCCGTACAGCAACGCCCGGGCGTTATATACCAGTTAAGTTGTGGAAATAGTTACGTAGGGCAGACGGGCAGCTGAGTCAACGACGGGCCGCGTGAGCATATAGCAACAAAGAAAGGCCGCTAGATAGATTCCACTCTGCATTGCGAGAAATGTAAATGTAATCCACGCTTTCAAGATACCACCATTTTATAGGTAGGCCTGGGTGTTAAGTAACATGCTTATTTGTAGACGCTGAACGGATAATCCACGCAAGTGCTCTCAAGAAGTGGGTTACAATACCTACGCATGAGTTGAAGTGAGCATAAGTTTTTGTTCATTGGAAGGTTACGCCGCAAGCTGAAATTTGGATTCACTATAAATAACGTTTCATTATAATCATCTCTGCTGACTCAGTTTTGAGACATTGCAGAAGAGACGTTTTTTTTTTCATTTCGTTGATATGCTACCCCACACCAGACAAGATAAAATGCATACACTATTTTCTTTGATATAAAGTTTTCGTGACTAAAATTTAGTAAGTCAGTCCCACTGCAATGTAGTGAACACATTAGTGTATCTGGACTTTGTGAACTATTGCATGGAGACAATTCACTCATCGTGTGTCGCGAGCAGATCTACCGTCTCCCCGTGACGTCCCACTGCCATGAAACGTCTCACAGAGGAATCCGCACCCTATAATGACACTGCCTTTGTGAGGTAGCGAATTTATAGACACAAGAGCACTTTTTTTAGATTTCTCAGAACATTTATTTAAAGTAAAATATTTCGATTTCGTGTCCAGACTGACACAAAAAATGCAGACTGTATGATCCGCACGGCTGATTTCTCGCAGTGGGTAAGTGCCTCCAAGGAGCACCATCAGACGAGCAGGAGGAGGAACCGGCCACCATGGCCGAACGAAGCGAGCCGCAGCACCGGTTTCACCGTGCCTTCCTGCTGGCCTTGAACGTCCTGCTCATGGTCAGCGCAGGCTCGGTTGCTTCAGTGGGCCTGTTCGCCTTCTCGGAACGAAAGCGGCCCGCGGTGAGCCGGGTACGCAAGTGCAGGCGAGATCTTTCCTTCCTCTTCGGCACTTTTTTCTTCACAAAACACGTGGAACGAGCAAGTCAGGATCTCCGCAGTAGGAAAACAGAGGGACCATGCGAGACAAGGTCACGCGATTGTGTGGCAAAGCCAACGCCTCCTTCAATGCTAGTGCAAACGCGCGCTCTTTAGCGATTAGGGTATGCTGCTTGTGTCACAGGTGCGTTCGCCCGCCTTCCCACGGAGATGCGATAGACGTGTATCCCTCTCAAATATCACACATCTGTCAGATTTGTTCCTTCCTTCTCTGTCGCTCCATACAATACCACAGCACCCCGAAGGCAGCGCATGCAGCAGTGTAGTTGCCCATTTGGCTGCGCGCATAGTGCCGCGAACGGAGACACGCTATCTCAAAACACTGTACCTCTTACATGCCAGCGTGACCGCTAACATTGTGAACACGGGCAGGGTACGTGCCTCGATATGTGCGCACGTCAACACGAGGAATGCAAGGCGCCGCCCCACGGATCTGTACACAACTGAACAAAAATTACTTCCTACGATTTACGTCGTGAGGCATCCCACGAAAGCTCCCTAGCTTCACTTGGTGGTGGTAGTGGTTAGAATGAAGAGGAAAAAGGCACCTAATTTCTGTCTGCCTTCAGGCGACACGGCGCAGTGCCTTATAGGGGTGGGGAGAAGGAGGATAAAAAGAATAGAAGGAAATAGACGGAGAAGAAGACAGCCAAGCGAGAGAAAAAAGAAGGAGATAGGAAAGTGGGGATCGGTCGAAGCAGTCCAAGGGCGGGGTGCCACAATGCGAGAGCTGCACGGCGCCAGGAGACCGCGGAGGGCGAACCAGTCGGCGGGAGCTACGCTGATGTCGGAGATCGCGAGGGCACAACCGTCCAGCTTCGTGTCCTGTTCGTGTCCTGTTCTCGGCACCGTTCAAATTAATCAGCCTCACCAAATCTACCAACCCCCTGAAAACGAAATCATCAACAAAATGCAGAGTTCAACATCGAAACAGGTATGCGGCCTGCTCCGGGAAGTCGTCTATAGGACCCCCCTTTCATATGGTGCTTGTTATGTCGAACGACCGGAAGGTGTCTGAACGATCGGCTGAGAGAGCACGCGAACAATGTTAGAAACGGGAAAGATGGTTTTCTTGCCCAGCACTGCACTGAGTGCAATTGTGTTCCCCTCTTCGAGGACACAGCGACGCTGTACAAACACAGAGATGTAAACACCCGGGTCATTGTCGAGGCTGCGCAGATGGCACGCGAACAGGTGCCTTGTATTAGCAAGCCCTCCGTGGCTTTGTCCGAGAAGGAACGCAGGTTCCTCGAAGATTTCGGTGCGGGAAGGTACTTATTTTATCTTTATCTTTCTGTTTCGTTTTCTTCTAGGTTTTTTCTTTGCTGTTTTTCAGTGCCTTTGTTTTTGTGGTTGTTTGTTTTTGTTTTTCTTACTCATGTTCTGCTCTTGTGCCGCATGGTTTTTATCACATGGTTACTGTCTCCTCTATATATTTTCGTGCTCTGCGCAATAAACTCAGTTGGAAGTTAGCGCTCGTGTCTTTCCTGTCCTTCTTGTCTCTGTGTCGTCGTTTTGTTCTCGCGCTATAACTATCGTCATGCCATACCAACTAGCCCAAGCTGCCACACTTCCAGCTTGAAATCCTGCGAGCGAATCCATAGCTTCACTCCCCATGACTGAAGAGCACACGCGAACGCTAGGCGATGGGCGAGAGCAGGACAGGAGAGGGTAGGTGGGTCGGACCAACACCTCCTAGACTAGCTAAGGCCTCTCCACTTCCTCCTCTCCTTAGCGCCTACGTCACCACACTCCGACGGAGCTGCTTCGCCGTCTCTCGACCCGCTTTCGGGAAGCTCCCCTTCCGAAGCAACCCGTCTCCATCGCTCCGCCCCGCTCCGACCGGTTTTGTGGTATCTGCGCTACTGTGCACGCACGAAATAAAACAAGCCGGAGTGCCGAATTTTGGGAAATCCTTTGTAGCGTTTTGCTTTAAAATTTGACCTCAGGGATTAATTTATTATTGCGTGAAACACGTGCGTATCAGTAACGTAGTCTTTTGGAACGTTAAACTTGGGTTTTACGCCACGTTTTGTTTCTATTTTTGATATTTTAGCGCAATGCTGAAGGGGGTGAAGGCATCCGCAGGACCATAAACATCAGTAGACACGCGGTTCATGTGGCTAATTTTTCGAGCTGTTGCGTTGTAAAACTGTGTTTGTGTGTTTTCGTGCTCTGTGCATCGGCGAGAGTGTTGGTATATTGCCTTATTAACGATGGCTGAGTGAGTCCAACCAAGAGTGTGTGCGTTGAGTGGGCAAGCTGTGATAATGCCTGGGCATTGCTGGGTACCGTGGTGCCACGGGAACTATGACGGTGGAGAATCTGTGCGTGTGTTCACGTTCCCCTCGGACCCCTACAAGAAGAACTCAGTGGATTAAGGCTATTCACCGTGCGGACTTCACACCAGGAAAGCGATCAGTGGTAAGGCTAACTTTCCTATTAGTGTCGTTTTCTACACTTCCTGTGCATTGATAACACCAAGGGGATTGATGTGAGAGATAACGAAAACGCCCACTCTAGATAAAAAGAATGTTTGCGTGGCAAATATGAGGGAGTGACCTTGTATAGATGACATTCGGCACCACGGGCTTCTTGATAAATATTCGAAGTGTCCATTACTTTGCTGCCATGAAGATGAGCTACTGCTTCTTAACTTAAAATACTACGTTATTTGTCTTTTTTCGTATACTCGGTCTGCGAGCGCCACTTCAGACTATCCGACATGGTAAAACAAAAGCTATGTGGATACAA